CTCTGTGTAGTCCTGGCTGTCTTGGAACTCACTCTGTAGACCAGACTGACCTTGAACTCAGAGATCCACCAGCCTCTGCGCCTTCTGAGTGCTGGAGATTAATGGCATGCAACCCCTTCCCTGCTTCATTTTTTTTGATTTTTGGATTTTGTTGTTTTGCCTTTGTGTATGTAAGAGTCCATGTTCATGCCATCATACATGTAGGGGTCAGCGCACAACATTCAAGGGCCTCAGAACTCATTTCTATCTTCATGGGTCCTGAGGATCAAAGCCAGGTCTTTGGGCTTAGTGGCAAAGGTCTTTACTCGCTGTGCATCTTGCTGGTCCCTGAGTTCTCTGTTGTCAGGATATAGCAGATCTCTTCACTCTGGCTACTCTGCTATATCCAGACAACGATGAACTCAAAGGCCAGCGAGATGTTTAGCTATATCCTGATCTTTGGCGCCCTGGCCCAACCTACACGTGGCCCTCATAGGCAGCTTTGGGTATTCCTGAGGGCCTCCATTTTTTAGGTTTGAAGTGGAATGGGGCAGTGGACCCTGAGAGGGCCTGTGCTGAGCATCCAGACCTGAGGGTTCAGGATCGTGGGGTCTGCGGGCTGCCTGTGACTTAAGGCGCTCTGTGGTGGGAAGTAAGCTGACTGTTCAAACCGTTAGGATCCTTAAGCTCTTTAAAACCGTTAAAAGGCCTTTGGCCTCGTGCACAGGGGGGCGGAGCCAAGGATCGGTGTTCTCATTGGTGGGCGCAGCCCAGGGGCGGGGCCTCACCTTGGCGGGCTTTCCTAGGCGCCTGGGAAGTTGCTGGAAGGTGTGCGCGTTTTGGCGCGTGTGGTGCCGCGTGTGGTGCGTGTAGAGGTGAGAACACGAGAGGCGTGGGTCACGAGGGGCACAAGGAGTGGGAAGAGATGAGGAGGTTGGGCCACAGCAGGGGACGTCAGGCCCAGCCGCCTTAACTGAGGGCCGCTCGGCCACTGGAAGCCTGGCCTGAGGCGCTCAGCTCCTCAGACTCTCACAGGGCCCGAGCTTCCAGTGGGAGAAGATCAAACCTGGGAAATGAGTGAATGGGGAAATCAGAGAGGCCAGCTGGAAATTTCCTTTTATTGTTACGAACAAACAAAACTAAAAAAATTAATAAAAAGTAAGCTGACTGGGAAACAACACATAGGAATGAATAACCAGGAGCTTCGAGTCTCCCCCCCCCCCCCTTTTTTTAGTTTTTTTTTTTAGTTTTTTTCGAGACAGGGTTTCTCTGTATAGCCCGGGCTGTCCTGGAGCTCACTCTGTAGACCAGGCTGGCCTCGAACTCAGAAATCCGCCTGCCTCTGCCTCCCAAGTGCTGGGATTAAAGGCATGCCCAGCAAACAAATAACTTTTTTTTTTTTTTTTTTTTTTTTTTTTTTCGAGACAGGGTTTCTCTGTGTAGCCCTGGCTGTCCTGGAGCTCACTCTGTAGACCAGCCTGGGCTTCAAGGCTCTCTTAAAACATTTTATTTTAGCCAGGCGGTGTGGTGGTAAGCGCCTTTAATCCTAGCACTCGGGAGACAGAGGCAGGAAGATCTCTTGAGTTTGAGGCCAGCCTGGTCCACAAAGGGAGTTCTAGCCAGGGCTACCCCCGTGTCCCCCCAAACAACAACAAAACCAAAACAGTAATTTTGTTTTTTCTTTTCTTTTTTCTAAGATTTATTTATTTTATGTATATGAGTGCTCTATCTGCCTGTACACCTGCATGCCAGAAGAAGGCATAAGACCCCCATTACAGATGGTTGTGAGCCACCATGTGGTTGCTGGGATTTGAACTCAGGACCTCTGGAAGTGTAGTCAGTGCTCTTAACCACTGAGCCATCTCTCCAGACCCTCTTTTTTCTTTTTTTAACGATACTTATTTACAAGGAGGGAGTTTGGTGAAGGTCAGAGAACAATTTTCAAGAATTGGTTCTGATCTTCTGTTGTGTGGATTTGGGAGATTGAACTTGAATAGTCTTGGTTGCTAATAAGCACTTTTACCCATGGAGCTATCTGTTTAGACCTTGGAGAAAGCTTCTTGACCACACAATATGAGAGTGAACAATTCCTTTTGGCAAAGAATTGCCTGGCGATTAGGTGGAAGGGGACCAGAAGTCTTTGGAAGAATCTAGCCTTTTCAGCATTAAAGGAGGGGTGTTGGGGGGGGGTGTAGAGGATATAGGACACAGTGTAGGGAAGGAGGTGTTGAAGACTTTCACTCCAGGGCCTCATTTCTCAGAGCTGGAATAGGACCGCATGAGCTATATAGGGAGTTCCAGATCTATCTCTTGTTAAGTGTGGAACCTTGTCCCCAAAACCAAGCTGAACATGGTGAGGGGATATGTGTAATCCTAGCACTATCTATGGCTGATGAGAGCCAGGTTGGGATTCATAGTGAGATCCTGTATAGAAACAAAACATCCAAGCACTAGCTAGGCAAAAGCAGGCAGACTCTGAGTTCGAGGTCAGCCTCCTCTACATAGTGAATCCTAAGTAGCCAGGGTTGCATAGTGAGACTATGTCAAAATAAGTAAATAAAACCCAAAAACTAGCTGGGCAGTGGAAGAACGAGCCTTTAATGCTAGCGCTCAGGAGGCAGAGGCAGGTGGCTCTCTGAGTTCAAGGCCAGACTGATCTATAGAGTATGTTTCACGACAGCCAGGGCTACATAGAGAAACCCTGTCTTGAAAAACAACAACAACAACAACAATCCATGGTAAATAGTGAGATAATGACATAATGATAGTCCTACAGACCTATACAGTCAGAGTTCAGAAATACCTGTAGTCTATTAAGCTGACTAGGTTCCTTTCTTTATGGGGGTCTGGTGCACAAAGTTTGCATACATAGACAGCTTGTGTAGCCTATGTGGGTTGCTTTGGGGGACCTTGGAGACAATGTTTTGGTAGATTTATGTCTCTGATTTCAATGTTGTCCCCAGTCTATGATCCTGAGAGGTTATATGGGGTGCCTCCGAGAAGTTCTAGGGCATAGTAACCAGGGCTTACATTGGTCAGATCTTCATGTCCTGCACCAAGCTAGAAATAAGGAACATTTGATTAAGGATCTGTATAGCACCAAGTTCACATTCCTTGACTAAGTTCCACATTTCAAAGAAGTGGGGCTTTGTCAAGTTTAATGCAAATGAGTCTGAAGATGTGTTAACTGAGAAGCAGCTGTGGAGTCAAGTATAACTCTAGCCAGAGGGCCCCCACTCCTGAGTACCTCCTATATCCACCAAACCATGCTCAGTGATCTCACATCCAGTCTGAAAAAAAGAAGAGTCCATAAATACAGAGTGTATGATGGGCCAGAGGGAGGAGCCACTCTGACCCCAGGGCCACCCTCTCTTCACACGCATTCTTCCTGTATTCGCATTCTTCCTGTATTTGTCTAGCTAGAGCCCTTCTTGTGGCTCTGCTTTTCTTCTTTCCTGCTTTCTTTAATAAAGATGAGTTGATAAATGAAGAGGGAACCCTGCGCTTCAAAGTCTCAAGTGTGCGCATTTAAAGTGTCCTTTACCTTGATGGATGGGCATATTGGAATGAACTGTCTGGTCATTAGTCCATGTCTGCTAGAATCATCAAGGAGAAAGCTTTGGCTGGTAAGATTTCTATTCTCTGAAAAGTTAAAAGCTCATTCAGTTAATAGGAGACAAGAAAAAACACAAAAGGCTAGCTCAGGCTGAGGATATTAGCCCATGTGGTCCTTAGACTTTGTTAAGAGAACAGTAAGAATATACCCTCCCCCCAATTGGAGCCAGCCTGTAGATATGTAGTCCATGGCAGCTTCGAATTGTCTTTTTACCTCTACTTCTCTAGTGCTGGAATCGTGGGTGTGTACCACTACAACTGGCACTATCACAGGTTTTTAAATAGAAATTTTATTCATCTGTATAGGTGTTCTGCCTATGTGTATGTCTGTATACCACAAGCATACCGTGCTCAAGGAGGCCAGAAGAGGGTGTTGGGTCCTGTCTTAGGGTTTTACCTCTGTAAACAGACACCATGACCAAGGTGACTCTTAGTAGAAGGAAAACATTTAATCGGGACTGGCTTACAGGTTCACAGGTTCATTCCATTATCATCAAAGTGATAACATGACAGAGTCCAGGCAGGCATGGTGCCGGAGGAACTGAAGAGTTCTACATCTTCATCTGAAGGCTGCTAGGAGAAGACTGGCTTCAGGGCATCTAGGATGAGGGTCTTATAGCCCACACCCACAGTGACACACTTCCTCCAGTAAGGCCACACCTACTCTAACAGGGCCACACCTTCTAATAGTACCACTCCCTGGGCCAAGCATATTCAAACCTCCACAGGTCCTTTTGTACTGAAGTTAAAGATGGTTGAGAGTTGCGAGCCATGTGGGTACTAGGAATCAAATCTAGGTTCTTTGGAAAAGCAGTCAGTGGTCTTTTCAGCACTGCTGAATCATCTCTCCAGCTCCCCCCACCCCAGTCAGAGGGTTGTATAATGTACGCTGGCTGGCCTGGAACTCACTGTAGACAAGGCTGGCTTCAAATTCACAGAGCTCTCTCTATACGAAACTTATGTTGGTCATTGAATTTGGCCCAGTCTTCCTGCTTCCACCTCCTAAAGTTAAGATTGCAGGTATATAGTTGCCACATCTGGCTCATAGTGCAGTTTGGTAGCAGAAAAAGGTCCATTTCTGGCACATTAAGTGTGGAGTTTTTCACTAATCGGATAAGAACAAAACTGTTGGAATGTGCCGGGCAGTAGTGGCGCACGCCTTTAATCCCAGCACTTGGGAGGCAGAGGCAGGCGGATTTCTGAGTTCGAGGCCAGCCTGGTCTACAGAGTGAGTTCCAGGACAGCCAGGACTACACAGAGAAACCCTGTCTCGAAAAACAAACAAACAAACAAACAAACAAACAAACAACTGTTGGAATGTTCCTACATGTGATATTACACTTGAAAATGTTGTACTGTATTAATCTTCTGAGATTTCTCTGTTTTCTTTTCTAGAAGCACAAAAAATGAATTTTAATGTCTGGAATGTCAAAGAGATGCTCAGTATTCCCTTGGGCTCTGGGTAAGTCTCCTGGTTATTTTCTTTGATATTTGAGTCCTGTGATTTTATTGATTTTTGTAGGAAGTCTCCTTCCTATAGCTTGAGTAGCTATTGGATAGTGCTAGAGGTAGCCTATGCTACCCTCCTCTCCTTCTCCTGTCACTGCTATTCCTTTTTATGTGTGTCTTTTTCCTCCCACTTATTTTCTGATTGGAAAAATGATGTCAGTTTAGGAGAGATAGCTGAGGGTAAAGTGCTTGCCTGTCAAGTGTGAAGACTTGAGTTTGAATAACCAAGCTCACATAAAAAGTGGAACACAGTTCATGATATCCACTGAGAGGAGATAGGAGATAGAGGCAGGAAGAGTCTCTAGAAATTCACAGACCAGCCAGCTGGGCCTGTGTGGCAGAGTTCCAATGAAAGATCTTGTCAATGGTTTGCTCTGGTTTCCACAGAGACAATGTCCATCCACACACGCATATGAGTGCATATGTATGAACACACACCCCTTCACCCATAGGGACATGCATTTCAGAACTTCCCCAGAGACACCCACAGATACTATCAGTGCAACTCTGTATATCAACTCTGTTTACAACATTCAGTCTTGGGATGGGTCTTTAAGAGTCAGATATAGGGGCTGGTGAGATGGCTCAGCAGTTAAGAGCACTGACTGCTCTTCCAGAGGTCATGAGTTTAATCCCAGCAACCACACGATGGCTCACAACCATCTGATGAGATGCCCTCTGAGATCTGATGCCCTCTTATGGGGTGTCTGAAGACAGTGTACTTACATATAATAAATAAATAAAAACCTTTGGGCTGGAGCAAACGGGGACTAGAGCCCCAAATCACGAAACACACCTGAAGTAGGTAACTTCAGGCAATTTCTATTTTGGAATAGAAAGAGATAAAATCAGTTCAGTGTTCAGATGTTTGTTTGTGTACTGTAATTTGTAGCTGCTATGAAGAGCCTTTCCAG